GCTGGATATGCACAACAAAAAGAATGAAAGTGGACCCCCCAACTTCCACCACCCACAAAAATTAACTCAAAATGCATTAAAGAAAATCTTCAAAGACCTGAAACCCCAACTGAGGCTTCTGGATAAAAACAGAGGCAAGAAACCTCATGATGGCTTTTTGGATATGATATCAAAAGCACACTCAACAAAAGCAAAAAAAAAAATCAGTAAGTGGCACATCAAACTGAAAAGCATCAGCAGAGAAAAAGAAACAGCCAACCAAACAAAAGGGCGGCCTACTGAATGGGAGAAACACCAGGCAAATCTCCTATCTGATACGGGAGCTTGTATCTAAAATACGAGCCAACTCAACAGCCGGAACACGGAGCAATCTTACTTCACAAGAGATTGGGGACCTGGATAGATCTTTCTTTTTCCAGAAGATATATAAACGGTCAAAGGGCATGTAAAAAGCTGCCCTGTTATCACCCCTCATCGGGGAAGCAAATCCAAACCACGCTGCAGTACAGCCACACAATTGCTAGACTGCAGACACTCAGAAAAGGCCAGAGATAATAAATGCTGGCACAGAGGGAGAGAAAGGGGGCCAGGAGGGGGCAGGGCGGGGGTCTAATCTGGCTCGGAGGGAACTGTGTGAAGATTTCTCAAAGGAACGCTATGGAGAACTGCAGTAGAATCCAGCAGTCCCACTAGTGGTTACAGACAAAGGCGACGAAACTGAAATTCAATCATGAATGGCCTTGTAATGCTCTAAAAAAAAAATTAAAATTAAAAAAAAAAGGTGATGAAACCTGCCAGAGACGTAAAGGTCATTCCCCTGTTCACTGCAGTGTTTTGTATACTCGCCAAGACGTGGACGCAATCTAAATGTGTATCAGGAGATGAATGAATAAAGAAAAAGAAAAAAATCTCTCTCTCTCTCTCTCTCTCTCTCTCTCTCTCTCTCTCTCTCTCTCTCTCACAGACACACACATGCTAAGGAACATTATTCGTCTCCAAAAAAATAAGAAGAAACCCTGTCATTTGTGTCAACCTGCCTGGCTTTTGACAGCAACAGGCTAAGTGAAGTAAGTCAGAGAAACACAAATCGTCCCATCCCTGTATGTGCAGACTCGTTTCTAAAACAACAACAACAACAACAAAGCCTCACAGAAGCAGAGATGAGTATGGTGGTCTTCAGGGGCTGGGGTGGGGGGAGAACTGGAAGATGTAGGTCAAAGGGCACAGACTTCCGGTTATCCGACGGGCAACTTCCGGGAATCTACTGTCCAACAGGATGTCTGAGACCAAAGCTCCTGTGTAGGGGTGAAGCCTGAACGTGGCTGCGAGTCGATCTTAGACGCTCTCCCCACACAACGGCCCTGGCCAGCGCCCCAGAGCCCCAGCCTAGGCGAGTGGCAGCCTGCGCTGAGGTGAGCCAAAGACGGACAAAGGGAAGGAGAGACGCACCGTCTGAGAGGCCAGACACCCCAGATGCGTCTCCCCTTGCCCCGTGGCAACCTGCCTTCACGGCTCCCTGTGGCCCAGGCCTTGAGGTCTCAGCTGTCCTTCATCTCCCTGAGCCTCACACCATCACAGGATGAAGCTCAGCCCCCACTGCAGAAGTGTCCATCTTCCGTCTCAGCTGCCCCCAACGAGCCTGGCCGAGTGTTCACCCTGCGGCCCAAGGGACCATCACACAGCCAGATCCGCTCGTGTTCTTATGTCCCGGGAAGGCAGTTTCACTCGCACATTGACCAGACCAGACGCGAGGATACAAATGCAAGGCCCCTTTATCGCCAGCTTGAGCGAGGGTCCGAGTCTCATCTAATGGAGTGGAGTCCTGACAAGGACCCCCGACTCTGAGTTCTGAGCAGCTTACACAGGGCTTGGTTACATAGCAGCATTTTTCTAGGAACTGACAACACGTTTCCAATCCTGGTTTCAGTCCTGTCCTGTGACACCGGGGGCCAACACTGTTTCCAGTTGTTGGTCCCAGTCCTGTCCCCTGCCTCGTCTCCCTCAGCCCTCTCTTCTTGGCTGGGCGCCACTGCCCATGCCCCCTGTTCTGATCGGTTGTTCCCACAGGTTGGTTTATCTGCCGAGGGTGGCATTGTTTTCTGAGAAGTCGGAACTTTCTGGCGGGGAAAACTGAGACTTAGGTCTTAAAGTGGAGCCCGTCAACACTCCACTTCGGCCTCACAGTGTCCCTCTGAGTGGCGCTCGAAGTGGCACTTGAAGTCCCTGAAAGTGTCATTTCAAGTGTCCCTCCAAGCATCCCAAGGCCCGAGGAGGAGGGCTCATGATGGGGCTTCCGATGGGGCAAACACACACCCACAGATGCCTTATACTTGTAAATAAAACTTCATTGGAACTTGGCTGCGCCTACCAGCTCCCACCCTCGGGGGCTGCTTCTGTCAGAGATGCAGCAGGAGGCGTGGCCCCGGGAATATCCACTCGGGCCCTTTACAGAAGAAAGCCACCTGGCCCCCATTCGCACGCCCTGCTTCTGTCTCACTGTACAAAATAAGGATGACAAAGCCTTTACCAGCTTAACCACCTGTGATTCACTGCTTGCGTGTATTCACACTGACTATCCACCCCCAGAGTGCTCCTGTGTCCCAGGCTGGAACTCTGAACCACAGCCCGGCGCCAGCCCTGGGAGCCCTTCTCTACCCTGGCCTCAGGACCTCTCTCAGCATGCCACCTAGGAGAGCCCGAAGAGCTGCCCTCTGGCGTCTGTGCTCAGAGTTCATCTCTGTGGCACCCTTTTTGTGACTGAGGACTATTCCATTACATGTCCTTTTCAAGGCTGAGGACTATTCCATTACACAGCCACATGCTGGTCCATTTGTCTGCAGACAGACACAGGAGGGGTCACTACTTTGGACCATCATGCTAACTCTTGGGGGTCTCCTCTGCTTCCAGGTCCAACTCCTGGGGTCCAGGAGCCCTTCAGCTAATCCCCCTGGACAGTCATGCTCCCTCTCTCCTCCTCCCAGTCTTTTTTTTTTTTTTTTTGCTTTTTGGGTCACACCTGGCGATGCTCAGTGGTTCCTCCCTGCTCTGCACTCAGGAGTTACTCTTGGCGGTGCTCAGGGGACCATATGGGATGCTGGGAATTGAACCCGGGTCGGCCGCGTGCAAGGCAAACATCCTACCCGCTGTGCTATTGCTCCAGCCCCCTCCTCCTCCCAGTCTTGAGTCACGGGTCCAATCCCTCTGGAGAAACCTTCCCTGGTGCCCCCCACGCACTTGACCCCCTCACTACCAGCTCCAACCCCAGCAGGTCCCTCTGGTTATCAGCACTGAGTGCCCAGAACTGCCCCCTTGAGAGCGCGCAGGGATGCCAGTGGGGGTCAAGTGACAGCCCTCATAAGGTCAAGGCGATGTCTCCCCTGGCTCTGCATCACCGAGCGTGCAGCCAAGCATGCCTACGCCTTCTGCAGAGGCACCAACGGTCACCGTGGACAGAACGAGGACCGCTCAGACGCTGACAGCGGCTGACCCTTCCCGCAGGGGCCACCACTGACCCGGGGAGAGGCATGTCCTGGGGGGAGGGTCCCAGCACCCTCCCCAGTGCCTCCCATTGGGGGCGCACGGGCTCTCAAAGGGAGGGAGGGAGGTTGCGGCCGGGGCAGGTCCCCCAAGTCCCTCTGCACACCTACTCCCATGCACTGTCCCTCTTTCCACTGACCCTTCCTTCACCCGCAGTGACGGAGCAGGGGCGGCTCCCCTGAAACGCTGCCCACTGAGGAATAGACAATGGGGGGGTCACTGCAGGCCCCTTTTGTGAGGGTGAAACTGATGCCACGACAGGCTGCAGCTAACATGAAGTCTCAGCTGGGCCTCAGTTTCTGTTTCCCCAGAGCAGGACTTGCAGTTTCTGGTAAATTCCCAGTTGAGTAACTCTCCTAGATAAGAAACTGGGCAGTTGGATCTGGCCAGTCATGAGGGGTCGCCGCACCCTTCTTGGAAAAACCCCAAACTGTGACTGGTACCTGCTGCCTCATTGCTGACCATTGTTGCAATAGGGCCAATGCTAGAAACAGAGCAGTATATAAACTGCTTCTTAACTGAACCCTATATAAACCGCTTGTGACTCGGAGTCGGGGTCCTTGTCAAGACTCCACTGCACTGGATGAGACTTGGACCCTAGCTCGAGCGAGCAGTAAAGTTCCTTTGCTTCTGCATCATCCTGTGTGGATCTGGTCTCTCTGCAACTGAGGATCTGAAACTCAGGCAGGACACTTTCTACCACCCAGGGCCGTGGGTACTGATCTCACTGCAACGCCCTGCAGACTCCAGGCGCCCCCCCCACCAGGAACGGGCCCAGCTGAGGCGGGTCTGGAGATGCTGAGAGCCCTCACAAGAGCCCGAGGAGCCCCTCAAGGCCCAGTGCAAGCCTGATCCAGCCCTGTCTGTCTGTAGCGCATCGAGGACACCCGTGGGGGGTCTCTCAGAGGGTCCTCACACACCGGAAACTCTCACCCACAGCTGCGGCCTCCAGAGCCGGGGTCTGGGCCTCTCACACACCCTGTGCCCGAACCTTTGACTCTTCATCCCATCTCGTGCTGAAGCCACACACCCAATTCTTCTTCTGCATCGTCACCATGGTTTTAAGTGTTGAATATTAAAAACCCGCCCCCCACCCCCGGATTTTAATGCATAGAAGGATCCATCCCCCACCCACCCACCGACATATATACCCCACATACACGTCTGCCATGTTCAGGGCTCACTCCTAATTCTACAAGCTCAGGGATCAGAGCTGGGCGGGGCCCAGGCACCAGCCGGGGAGTCGGGGATCGAACCCGGGACAGCAGTGTGCAAGGGCCTTTCCCACTCTCCTCTCCTCCCTTCGGCCCCCCCACGCCCACCCCATTCATTTTTCTCGGGGACCCTGGCCTAAGGCCTCCTGCACGACAGCGGGAGGAAGGAACCGCACGTCTCCCCCCCGCCCCGCGGCACCCCTGGGACCGCGCACCCCACCCACCCCCGCGCCTCCCGGCCCCACTCACTTGGGCGTGTGCGCCTCCTCCACGCGGTGGCCCAGCTGGAACTCGTGGGACTTGCTGCGGTGCAGGGCGGTGAAGCCGGGGATCAGGTGGATGAGCTTCCGCGAGGAGGGCGGCGGCGTGCCGGGGGGCTTCAGCTTGTTCTTCCTGCGCGTGGGCGGCGTGCCCGGCGGCGTCACGGTGGTCACGATGTTGGGCGTGCGCGGGGGCGTGCGCACGGCGTGCCGCTGCCGGGGCGACGGGGGCAGCGAGCGGTGGCCGGACTCCAGGGGCGGCGGCGGCGGCGGGCACAGGCCCGGGTAGGCGTCCACCGTGAGCCTGTCCACGTGCGTGTAGACGGGGGTGCCGGGCGTGGGGCCCGCGTGGCAGTAGTGCTGCGCGCACTTGGCCTGCACGCGGGGGCTCTGCGCGGGGTGGGGGCGGGCCCAGGGCGCGGGCTCCGGCGGGCACGCGGGGCTGCTGTCCTTCCCCGGCTCCGCGGTGGGCCACTGGATGGTCCAGTCCTGCTTGGAGAGGTTGCCGCCTGCGTGGGAACAGAGGGGCGGCGTGAGCCGGGAGGGGGACAGGACGGTGGCCGCGCGCCCGCTTGCCGGCACCTCGCCCCTCGCTCGGGTCGCGGGATGGCCCGCCCACCCGCCCCACGGGGAAGCACGGCTGCGGGCACTCCGGCCCCTTCCCTGGGAACTACAGCCTACTCCGCCCCATCACTCTCGCCTTGACCATAACGGGTGAACTGGGGGTCTGTCCGTTTGGGGGTCACCCCCGCAGTGCTCAGTGCGTACTCCTGGCTCCGACTTCAGGGATCACTCCTGGCAGGATGTAGGGGGCCAGATGGAGTGCCGGGGGGAACCAGGGTTGGCCCTTTGCAAGGGCAAGCGCCCTACCCACGGTGCTACCTCTCTGGCCCCTAACATACTAATTTAATAGTGGCCAGATCAAATGAAAAGCCACACCTGGCCCATTCCAAACCTGGGGAAAACCCGTGCAGAAAGTCAGTGGGATGGGGGCATGATGGGAAGTAGACCCAGACCCCTCCCGCCGAAAGGAACCGAGATACCAGGGCTGAGATTCCACCTATCACTGGGAAGTCAGGGAAAGTATGGCAACACTGCATGGAAATTCCACCAATCACCGCAGGAGAAAATCTCCACCAAGCAGAGCTCCACAGACTGACACTTGATTTGCATAAAGCAGACCAGAGCACAACCTGGCTCTGCGCTTTTTCTTCCTCATTTTTCATGCTACCCAAGGGCTGCACACACCTAATTTTTAACGCTTCTTACGTCTGTGTTCCGGGACCGCAGTCCTAAAGCCCCGGGTCCCCTTTGGTGTGGCTCAACCAAGCTGCAGTTTCTCAGTCTGCAGGATAATCTGATGGTTAACTCGTGGGCACAGGAAAAGCTGAAACATTTTCCTCGATAAATGAGCATCAATTGCTTCTTCGCGTTATGCCATTTGGATTTGGGAAAGGTTTCTCTGAGCCAGGCACATGACAGCGTATGCACACTGACACAAACACAGCCACGCCCACATTCCCCTCCCAAATCCCTCCAAGGTGACACCCATTCATCTGCCGGCCCACCGCTCCCCGAAGCTGGGCACCCACAGCTCCAACGGGCTGAAAGGCAGCAAGCAAACTTCCCTCTCGCCGGTGAAGCATCCAAATGGCCTTATTCCAGCAAGTCCAAGGTCAGCATTTCCCCAACCTGGCCACTTTTCCACCCCCTTGTGAGACAGACGAACTCTGTGGGAGCTAAGTTCGTCTGGCACCTCTCATTCACCCGCGGGTCACAGACGCTTTCTGAAGGTGCTGGGCACCACCACCCTCTGCCCCCGCCCCTAGAGGTCAGCAGGCCCTGGTGCCCTGGGCTCAGATGCAACAGAAGAGACACGGGGAAAGGAAAACACATGCACATGACTTTAGGCAGCCACCAGAGCCGGAAGAGAACCAAAGTCACGTGGTAGAAAAGTTCCAGGAATGTTTCTGTGGTGCTGGTCCAATCCGAGGACACTGGTCAGCCTCCAGAAAGAAAAAGGAGTGAACTGTGGATGTCTCAACACTTGGTGGAGGATCAGGGGGTGACGAAAGACTCATTTCAGGGGACATGCTGTAGGACTGGGATTGGAGGCCCTTTGGGAAATGGAAAGCTCTGTGTGTGTGTGTGTGTGTGTGTGTGTGTGTGTGTGTGTGCGCGGCGCGCGCGCTCACACAGTGGAAAGGGGGGTTTGCCAGAGTTCGGGGTAGAGAAAAGGAAACAGAAAGGAGGCTGGGGGGGGGGTAAAGTACAGTAGAAATGACATCTGCACTTGCATGTTTATGGCAGCACTATTTAAAATAGCTAAAATCTGGAAAAAAACCCGAATGCCCGAGAACAGATGACTGGCTAAAGAAACTTGGTATATTTACTACACAATGGAATACTATGCAGCTGTTAGGAAAAAAATGAAATCATGAAATTTGCATATAAGTGGATGGACGTGGAGAGTATCATGCTAAGTGAAATGAGCCAGAAAGAGAGGGACAGACATAGAAGACTACACTCATTTGTGGAATGTAAAGTAACGCAACAGGAGACTAACACCTAAGGACAGTAGAGATAAAGGTCAAGAGGATTCCTCACTGCTTGGAAGCCGATCTCACATGCTGGGAAAAAAGGTAGCTGGGATGGAGAAAGGAACACGAAGTAAATTATGGTTGGATCGCTTGGGAGAGTAGATCCATGCTGACAGTAGACTATGGACAAAACTTGATACCTGTATTGCAAACCATCACACCCAAAAGGACAGAGAGAGTGAGAGGGAATGTGGCTGTCACAGAAGCGGGGGGAGGGGGAGGGTGGGAGGGCTACTGGGAAGATTGGTGGTGGAGAATGGGCACTGGTGAAGGGATGGGTACTGGAACATTGTATGACTGGAACACAGTCGTGAAAGTCTGTAAGTCTGTAGCTGCATCTCACAGTGATTCATTAAAATAAAAAAAATAAACAAATAAAAGAATGGAGGCTGGAGAGATAATACAGGGTTCCAAGCACTTGCCTTGGATGCAACCATCCTGGGTACCATCCCTGGTACCACGTGACCGCACCGAACATGGAGTCAGGAGTCAACCCCAGGCAGCACTGGGTATGTCTTCCCCCACCCCCAAAAACAAGCAAGCAGGAGGTAGGTGAGTGCATTCTCCAAGGCTAACTCAGACGCATCTTCAGGGCCTGAAGTGTAGCTGGGGGTGGCAGGGGAGTGTCCATCCCGGTCATGATCATTTCTTACAGGGTTCGCACATGACGTTGTGGACCCTGGCCCATGCACGGTGGGAACTGAGACAGACAAGTCAGCGGGAGTGGGGCCTGGGCAAGCAGGCCCTGCCGATGGCTGGCCGCAGACTGGGCCAGGGAAGGAGGGATTCAGGGCAGAAATAAATTCTCCGGCACAGGCAGCTTGCAGGAAGAATGATAATCGCCACACTGACCATAACGAGACTAATTTATGGAGCATCGGAGAGTCTACAAAGTGCCCTTCTGAACACTGACTCACTGCCCCATTTTTAATTAAAACTGCTCATTCTGTTATTACATATTCATTATAGAAAAAATGAGAAAATCCAGAGAAGGGAAAAGGCAATAACATTCGAGGAGCTCACTAGATCCCCACTGGCACGTAGACTCTGGGGACCATGCCAGACGGTTTGTGGCACACATGCACATACACACAAAAAATGGGGGGGGGATGTCATTAAGACCTTATTTGACAGGTGACGTCTGCTTTCTTCACTGATGGAGCGATTGTTTTTACGTCAAACTTATCTATGTAAGAATGCGTGCCAGGGGCCAGCTGGGGCTCCACTCTGTGAATAAGGGAAAGAGGAGTGCGGGGCTGGCAAGCCCAAGGTCACAAGAGTGTTGGGGGCTGGCACCCAGATTCAGACCTGGAAGCTGGACCACCTCCATGGGATGGAGAACTGGGACTTCACAGAACATCAGACAGGAGCAGGTCCTGGAGCAAAGGCACATTTTAGATTTTTTTTTTTACCTTTTGGGTCACACCCAGTGATGTACAGAAGTTACTCCTGGCTCAGCACTCAGGAATTACCCCTGGCAGTGCTCAGGGGACCATACGGGATGCTGGGAATTGAACCCGGGTTGGCTGCATGCAAGGCAAACGCCCTTCCCGCTGTGCTATTGGTGCAGCCCCTCATTTTAGATTTTAAAACAACAAAAAGCCCTTTTCCAACCTCCCGGATGGGGCCAGACCCTTCCACTGAAGTCGCCATCACTTTGTTTATTGTCTAACGGGGTGTCAGAGTCTCAGCCTTGGACCCACTGGCCTCCTGGGTCCGAGTCGAACTTCTCTGAGTCTTAGTTCTAGATCCTCCAAGGCAGGACTCGCCTGGGACCCTCCTCGGGGAGACCGCACATGGATCAGTGGCTGCCAGGGACACGGCATGCACACGACGGGCATGGGAGCTCCTCTCCCAGAAAGCTCGGAGCTACGGGATGGCAGCAGTGTGGGGGCATGCCCTTGCCCTGTGCACACGCTGAACGATGCCCGGGGCCGAGCCAACGTCCATGTCCTGAGGGTTGAATGAGACCCTGTAAACAGCACAGGTACAACCATTTCTAACACACAACCAGCGTGCCTATGGGGGATGGAGAATGGAAGGAAGTCACGTATTTTAGGTGGCACTGGTGAGGTTTAAGTCTGAGGAGGTCTATGCCTGTGAGTCAACGGCCCTGACCTTGCGAGGTGCTCTTCCCCTACAGAAAGCAATCGAAAGCAACTCTTATTGTCACTGATCTGTACCCCCGTCCCAATCCCACCCAAAACAAAGACCCACGGATGCCCGAGCTATACCTGGGAATGTCACCTTACTGGCAAACGTGACCAAGTTAAAAGTGAATCATCAAGGATCAGGAGTGCCTCCCAGCATGGGTGTCTTCTGAAGACAGAGACAGGGGCTGGGGTGATAGTACAGCAGGGAGGGTGTTTGCCTTGCACGTGGCTGACCCGGGTTCGATTCCCAGCATCCCATATGGTCCCCCAAGCACCGCCAGGGGTGATTTCTGAGTACAGCACCAGGAGTAACCCCTGAGCACCGCCGGGTGTGACCCAAAAAGCAAAGAAATTTAAAAAATTATAATTAAAAAAAAATGAAGACAGAGACAGCCCAGACCAGACCAGGCCATATGAAGGCAGAGGTGGGAACTGGAGGGCTGGCACTGCCCGCCGACGGACACTGAGGGCTGCTGGCCACCGCCAGGCACATGTGAGCAGACGCAGAGCAGACCCCCACACCCTGGGGTCTGAGGAGGAGCCGGGCCCTGCTGGTATCTAGATTTCACATTTCCAACCCCCCATCCCCTGAACCGTGAGAGAAGGAACATCTGCTGCCCCCAGCCACCTGGTTTGAGCTGGTTTGGTCACAACAGTCCTAGGAATAGACTGAGTCCTCAACCGGATGTCAATGGCATGTACTGACCAAGGATAGATGTGGGGTGGGTGTGTGTGTGTGTCTGTACACATGCTGAG